AGATCATTTTATAAGACACAAATGCATTATTATTAAAATGAAACATATGAATATAAAATGCGCTATTCAAATGCAAAGAAAGACAAACGCATCTGCAGCAAACGAAGACGAAATACAGTTTGCGAAAAAACTAATTGCATTTATAAAGAAAAATACTTGGATTTGAACTCTAATTTAGTTTTCAACAATTAGCTACAGCTTATTGTTTTTATTCTCTTTCAATTGTAAGTCTGTAAGGAATATAATCCTTACAGAAATGATTTGTTATGCTTACGAAAAGTTCTTATACATCTACACACGAATCAGATAGTTTTTAAACTTTGTTTCTTAACAGTGTTTTGAAAAAATGATTAAATAAAAAATACATATGAATTTATAAAGAGATTAAGCATTTAAGTGTAAAATAAATTACATCAGCTTGACTAGAGTCATTTAGCAAGATATTAAAATATTGCAGGTGTTGCAGAAGAATTTCCTGAGACTGATTACAGAAACTCTACACTGGTATATTAGAAATCATGCATTTCATAGGGATTTAACATTTGAGTCTAGATCTTTTCTGAAAACACTTCAAAAATATCAGAAATGGCACTTCAAAAATGTAAAAAAATGCGATGCAGCCGTTTTTCGAGTTGGATTTTTTTTCTTTTTTTATTTTACACAAATACTGTTAAAAAGGTAAAATTATTGTCAAAGATGGATGTGTATAAATATGAAACAACCTCCCTTCCTTTTTTAATGATCACAGGCTGATTCTTGGTTATTCGCAACAGGCCATTTAAACAAACTCTTATTATCGCACATCTTCGGTTTCTATCAGATTTAATCAAAAGTAGGGTTTCGTAATGCTGCTTTTGATTAATCGCATATAGAAAACAGTGAAAGCAGTGATGTTGAAGAAGGAAAATATCTCTAACTTGCAAAAAAAAAAAAAAAAACGAAACAAATTGTTAAAAAAGAACACTTAATTTGACAGTGAAGATTGATCCAAATGAAGAAAGAAAAAGGTCACTTGACCGTTCACGAATCTATTTTGATTACTTTTTTGGGGGGAGGGGGGAGTGATGACATCTGTACGTATGGACAGAATAAAGAACTCATTTTTTTTTTTTTTTTTTTTTTTTTTTTTTTTTTCCATAACGGATTGTAAAATGGATTCAGAAGGGAATTTTTTCGTGTCGTCTGTACATACGTATGATCTCAAATGAACCGGGAGAACGAAACACGTTTTCGAAACATATTAATCGACTTTTGCGAAGCTTTAATTCCTTTTTCTCTGACAAGTTCTTAATTGGAATTTCTGTAAAAGGACATTAATTACTATTTTATATTTTTATTATCTTGTATTTTTCTCCTTTCGCATTTACATTTTTATTTTCAGAGTTTGTACTACTATGAATTCTTATTTTAATTTTGATATGTTTGGATTTTGTGTTAAACCTCTTATGCACGATTGCTAATATAAATATTGTTGAGGAATAACCTTGCTTTGACTCCAGTTTACTTTTAACTTTAGAATCTTTAAGTCTATTTTACTTTAAATCTTGCAGCTATAGTGCAGAACGGGTATAAAAATTGGCTTTTAATTTTAGCCTCTTATTATGTTTCTTTTTGTATTTATATATACCCATCCTGTATTCGGCTCAACGAGCTCAGTTGTTTTTGTGACTAATCTCGCTTGTCTGATATCAGCACAAGCCCACGAAATCCATGATGGCAAGGAGGAAAACATGCGCCTGTCGTTGACAACAGCCTTGGGCACCATAAGGTGACAATACGACAGGTAACATACAGTTCTGCCACCGAAGCGGGTACGAGGGTCACCCACCTCTCTTCCCCTACCATCAACCTCTCGAGAGGACTTTAAGCTAGCCGTATATTTTGAGTGCTCCCCATGCCGCACAAACAGTATGCATTTACAAATATCCATACCTTCTCTGGGATTAGAAACCAGGCCCTCCAGTACGGCAGTCAGAGTCACTAACCTTTCTCTTGGTAGGGCAGATTCAATTATTTTTATTCTTACAGTTGGTAAATTGCGCAATTTTTGCTTTAAAAGTGACTAAATTATGTTGTTGCGGTTATGGTTTTATGCCTTTAATTAATCTGCATGCAGTAATTTTAGAATCCTCAACATTTTAAAAGTTTAAGTGTCGCTCGGCCTAATGTGGTAGGCAGGCTATTTGTTTACATTTGAAGCTGTTTACAGTGAATTCAGTTAGTGTGCCAATTTCAGTGTTTTTTTTTTTTTTTTTTTTTCCCAGTGGGACCAGAAATCACGTGCTCGAGCACCGAAAATTTTGTCTTTGTACCCTTTGGCCGAATGGCTTGTTTTTGCGTAGGAACTTTGCGTAGGAATGGCTTGTTTAAGTTTTCCTGTATTTTACAATCTTTACAAGAAAATTTTACAAGATGTTTTAAATTTTTATCTATTTTGGCCGTGAGGCGAAGCGAGAACTTAATTGATTGAATGAGAAATATATCTCTACCAAAATTCGAGGAAATAAGTTTAAATGAAGTGCAGCACACAATGTATATAATTTAACAGGCCATACAAGAAAATCATGTGGTGTCCACATCAGATATTTCCTTTTAATTACAACGATATTTAGGTTTTTTAAAATTATACATACTTTCTTAATCTGAAATATACCTAACACATTTTTTCCGTAGAATGTTAACTTCGTGAAATGCAGTTTTGCCGTACGCGCAATGTGTTTATGGAGTAACTCCCATGTTCGGCAAGGGTTAAGTGTACTTCGCTGTAGAATATTGATCGGCCCAACTATCGCAACTAGTTACCCTTTAGGTAACATAAAACTTGTAGAGACATTAGGATTTTTGAAAGCGACAAGAGGAAAAATTAGCAACCGTTTTCGCCAGGAATCGAACCACAGACCTCTGAAATATCGGCTCAATGTACTGACCACTACACCACAAAGGCACGCTAGTAAGGCGGGAGTAATACCTTATAAACTAACAGAAACCACTTTTCCGTTTTCGAATCAATAAATCTGCACTAGAACGCGTGTAGAACTCAATCATCCAAAATAGAAGGTGAAGAATTTCAGAAATTTGCATCTTTTCAAGCAGGACCCGATTTACATAACCTGCAAACTTAGGCAGAATAAAAGCCTAGAGCTTTTTCAAGAGCCCGCCTTTTTCCCCTTCGTGATCCTTTTATGGGGAATTTAGGCTTAACGACTAGGCTTTGTGGGCTTAGGCAGCAATCAGGCTTTGTGTCCGAGTGATGACTGGAAATCATCTTAAGACTGAAATTATTTTAAAGAGAGATCTGACAAGTTTCTTGTAACACGTTTCTACTCGCACCTTGCAGATGACAGTAGTCCTTCTCTTTACTCCGTCTCAGTTATGATTCCCTAGGGCAGTGGTCTCAAACTCAAACTGCATGCGGGCTAAATGCACGATCTGAAAGTAGATAACAGGCCGCAATTAAAAAAGAACGATTGAAAGAAAAAAAAATTTTTTTTTTTTTTTGGTTTGTTAACAGAATAAATCTTGTTAATTTTGCTAATTAAATTTAAAAAACTTTTTACTATATATTTGTCAACCATACATGTAAAACGAATGCCAAAAAATCAAATTTATACTCATTTTCTGCATAAAATCTACAAGTTGGTATTTGTAAGAAATTTCTGTTGGTCACAATTAGCAATTCAAAAGCGTTGACAGCTAAATATTAAAATTTTCACACTCACATTTATTCAAATAAATGTAATATATTGAAGTAATTGTTAAGTAACTTACTTTTAATTTTAAAAAATATATATATACGAAAACTTCCCAAGAGGATCAAAAACTGAGGATAAATAATGAAACATATTCTTTTCTTAAATTTATTAAATTTTTGGTATGTAATATTTGTATGCTATTATTACATTATAATTATAATAATCATAGTATAATTACAGAGTCTGACTTCCTTTGATAGCATGAACTAGTGTCAAAACTAGTACATTTGTAATGAGTTAACGCTGAGGCTAACGATAAAGACGCAGTCTTTAGAAAATTAAAAATTAACATTTTTATGAAATCAGAAATTTAATAGAAGAGCACATCTCGTGTTTTGTATTGACACAAGTGTTGACAAAACTCAGTCAATACTTGTGGCGAGAAAACTTAAAATAACAATCAGTTTAAAATTTAAATAAGCTAGAAGTCAAGGACTACACAGTTCAAATTAAGGCAAAACTGGCTCACAAATCTAACTGTAAGTATTCAAATATTCGGCAGCAATAAGGCAATACCGAGCATGTCAGGCTCTCAGAACTAAGAGAAACGTAATGAGCACGCACACCGGCAGAAACATGCTCTGTCTTGCAGTCTAACAGCATCAATTGAAATACTCAATCTAATTTGCCTTTTGGTGAGGAAACGGAAAGAAAAGTGACAGTAAAGATCTAAATCATAAAATAACTGATTATGCAATAATAATAATAATAATAATAATCTTACATAATACTTATATGTAAATAATAATAATAACAAAAACATTTGTTTGCAAATAATAATAAACTTCTTTGTTTCTTACTACACCTTTCAGCTCCTACATCTCATGGCGTTTAGATTTTTGTAAGGTTTATTATCTTGGAGAAAAATAGCAGACGTATCTTCATCACAAATTGTAAATACTCATCGGCGGCCTGGTTCTGTTCGTAGATTTATTAATTTTCGACTATGAAAAAAGTGCTGTTCACCTGTAAATGTGCTTCCGAACAAAGCGAATATTCTTATTGCAACAATTCATAGCTGAGAATATTTTTCCTTTCAAAGTACTATGTATAACGTGTATACGAGCCAGTTTCCCTTAGAAAGTCCTCCACGAAGGCATCCCTCCTCTTAGGCAGATAGCCCTAGTGTGCTTTGCCATAATTAAATACACCAAACACACCAAACACCTTTCAAAGTACTAATAAAAATTAATCAAATCTGTGTCTTCAAAATCTTTTAATAAGTTTTATATCACAGTTTAAATTAATTAGCTCCATTTCTAGATTTTCAGGAGAAATACTCTAGTTCGTTTTTAATAAAAAAAATATTGTAAAAGTGGATTCCAAACCATTAAAATCTTAAACTTTTTCTTCAAATTCCTGTCATGACAATGCTATTTAATTTACGGGAAATGTACTTGCGGGCCGCATAAAATTGGTTCGTGGGCTGTATACAGCCTGGGGTTTGCTAGTTTGAGACCATTGCCGTAGGGGATGGGTTCAAGGATCCACCCATCTCTTTTTCCCTACTACCAAACTACTCGAGAGGATATTCGGCTCGGCGTGTATTTTAACTACTTCCAAGCTGGACAGATACTATATATAAAACTACATATATAAACTTACTATATATAAACTTACATACAACCAAACTATCTCCAAGATTCAAGCAATGGTACAATGATACGGAAGCCAGCAACGCTAACCACTACACCAATCAAGACTACATCAAAATTTATTAATCCCTTTATCCCAGATGGGTGACAAAAAGGGTGACAGAACAACCAGTAGTTAGAAAGGGAGAAGCAAACAATAAAGGTTGAAAACCAGTGTTCTAAATGTATGAACAGGGTCCAATTAAGAAAGCTCTGAGGTCCTACTTCCTTACTGGGGAATCCACTGTTCAATTCCAGTATCTCCGAGAGAAAAAACAAAGGAGTTCTAGGTTAATTTTTTGATTATAGACGAGGTCCTACGGGTTTAGGCGGACATCAGGCTCTGAGTGAAATCTATTGCATTCCACTTTTAGTTTTCAATCTTATAATATTCCCAGTACTTTTTGCGCTAAACGCATGTATCCGTGAAGAGCCGAATGCAGAGTGTCATGTAGCTTTTTCCCGTAATGGTAAACAACGTCTTTCACATCAACAGTATTTTCTGCGGGAGGATAGGCATAAACTACAGTTTCGGGTGCTACTAGAATCTTTTGTGACTTGGGTTCTTCACTGTCGCTGTCTTCAACGACAGCAGGCTGTTGCACGATGACTTTTCCGGCTTCTCCATTGTCTTCAACAATAACAGGCTGTTTCATGATTACTTTCTTGGGTTCTCCATTGCCTTCAACGAGGACAGGCTGTCGCACGACGATTCTCCTGGATTCTTCACTGTTTTCGATTGCAGTAGGCTGTCGAACGATGATTCGTCTCCTTTTGGCATTACGATGGCCATGAAGAAGTACCACTTTGCTTTGCCTTACGGATGTACCTTCATTCTCTTCTATGTCGTAAGCTTGATCTGTTTGTATAATTTCTCGTGGTACGATCTGTCGTATTATTTTGAATGGTCTCCTTTCAGTCGTTCTGGGCTCAACTGGCTTATGTTCATATTCTATAAGCAATCGATGAGAATCAGCCTGGACTGTAGTAAGCAAAGTAACAAATATCTGAAAAGGAAACAGATTAAATTGGATAACCAGGTTTGATTTTTGTTTACTCAAATGTAACATGAATAAAAAAAAAAAAAGTCTATTGTGAATTAATTAAAAAACGGAACAAGAAATACATAGAGTTTTGCTGAATTCCGAAAAAAAGGAAATATACGTACATAATCTAGGTTTTTCTGTTTTTTTTTTTTTTTTTTTTTTTTTTTTTTTTTTTTTTTTTTTTTTTTTTTCCCCGTCACGTTTTGTTATTCTTACAACATAAGTAAGTTTTATGTTAATTAATCGATTACTATGATTTGAACCGTTACTATAACTTCTTTCCGTAGTTCTCACCAGAAAAAAAAATTAGTTGAGTATTTATGCCAACAGTTTGAATGTTTTAGAGATGGTGCTTTTGAAAGTCTCGTTCGCAGACACGACCTATCACCAGCTCTGCCAAAATTTATTCCGGCTTTACCCATTTTGATAGCCGACGTTAAATACGCGCCCTTAAATAACTGAGCCAACTTAAGCAGGTCATTTGTGTAATCTCCGACTTAATTTTGAATTTTAAACCGTGTTATTTTAATTACATTCAAGTGGCGGAGTTTTTTTGTAAGCGCGAGTGATATCTCCTGTTAAATAGAGTTATAAGGTGATATCTCCTGTTAAATAGAGTCATTTTCTCCTTTCTTTCCGCATATTTTGAACTAGAAGAGTGCACTAGAAGTACGCTCGACGCATATTCGGGAGCTCGAATCTCGCCCGGCAGTTTGAATCCCGATGACAGCATTGTACATTTTTCACATTCCTGCGTCGATATAACCTAATGACTCTACAAAGTTAACAAAAAGGTTATTTTAACCATCGTCGGACTTTGCCATCTTCAGTCAGATTAGAACGATAACTCGTTTATCACTCTAGTAACGTTTGAAGGACATAAATTTAAGTTTCTGCAGAAGTAAAATTCTACACATCAATCATTTATTCACAGCAAACTGATAGATCTAAACGCTTTTGCTGTTCCTTGGTTATGAGACCTTTATTTAGCTTTCAAATCACAACAAAATATTTTTTACTTATGCAAAAATATAGTAAAGAATTATCTCATTCATCAGTGCATGCTCTTGTCGCGTAAGTGGTTAGCTAGCAATTGGAAGATCTGTGGTTCGAATCCGGCGAAAGCTTAGCTGATGTTTTCAAACCTCGCTATAGTATGGATCAATTTATTTCTCGCCTCCAAACCTTCTCAGTTAAGTTTATATTAATTTTTTATATATATTACTTTTCAGTATATAGTAGTCGTTTGCGTGGTCAACCGACTGATAGTTTTTATAAAAATGTCTGAGATGCACATCATACGACTTCCTTGTTCTGTTATTAAATGATACACAATTTTGCTGCACTTCATTTAAGCTATTTTCTTCGAATAATTCTAACTTAATTAACCGATTCTTCAAGGCAAATCTTAGGTTTTCATAACGATCATAAAAATTTCCCAAATAAAGTGTAGGAACTGGGAAGCACTTTTAAACCGGGTAATGTAAACACACATATATATATTTTTTATATTGTTGATTGCAATAAAAAAGGGAGGTGCACAACTAGATGTTATAGCAGTCCCATATACAAAATTTGAACCTTCTACACCTAATCGTTTGTGAGTTATGCGAGAGTCATACGTTCGTAGGTACATAGAGACGTTATGAAAAAAAAATCCATTTGAATTCATTTTACAATACGTCTTCAAATAATTCTGAAGGGTGTGACGTTCAATGGAACAAAAGGGGCTAATAATTAGTAGAAAAATATGTATTTGACCCATTGTTGTCTTTTGTTCCACTTTATGTCACACCCTTCATAATTATGTTTGCGATATTCTTCCAGTTAACGTGGTTTGCGACTCCATGTTCTATGGCAATTTTTCATCCATTTGATGCCTATTATCACCCCTTTGAATTTGTCGTTCGAATTAGGAAGCACCGTGTATATATAATGATTTTAATGAATGCAGTTAGTAATTAATACTAATAGAGGTGGGAAGTGTCATTATTACTTTTAAGGTGCTTGGAATGGCTTAGGCAACGCCTGGACGAAGTCCGATCCTGTGGTAACGGATAAGTAGTAAATTATATTCTTTTGTCTGGCATATATGTTCAAATGAAGCGTGAATTGCCCAAGACAATTCCTGTGTGAGTCGTAACGTAAGCCAAATCAATTCCATCCCAAAGTCAGTTAATCCTATTATACCGATAAAAGAAGGTGGCGAACTGCTGAAAACAAACACAACTGCTGAAAACAAACACAGAGCGGCGGTGTGACGTCAGGAAGGTTAAGATGTTTAAGTTGTCAGTGAATAACAGACAGATGGAATATGAAAGGAAAATTAAATATGATACGCTTTTCCGAATGACAAACACATTGGTGCGTGGAAAAGTATTGTATTTCCCGTAATAGCAACACAGTGGTTTTAAACAGCGAAGTCTGTTAATCTACGTGAGGTTTCCGATTTCTTGTGTTCATTTGCAGCGGCATAGCTAGAGAAGGGCGATTCTCTCCAGGCGGGGCATTTCTTGGGCTGGCATTTTTTATGTGAAACATATTATAGGAGATGGACGTATGAATGTTCGGAGCAAAAAGAATATTTAAAATTTCTTGTTTACAGAAATATTCACGACTGTTATCTGTCCAAAGGATTAAATGTGTTCTTGGAGGACTAGAGTTCCCCACAAGGAGCTAAAAAATAACACACGGTTCATATTCACATTATGAAAGGAGCACTGGTTCTTATTCACAATATGAATGCGCGAACACACGTCACTTACTCTGCGTTATAAGTAAGGTACCACAAAAGGTTACCAGCCTGTTGTTTGGATTTGATATCAGGTCGAACTACCATTATTGTCATCTACCCTCTCAATCACTGGTCAGATAAAGAATCACGAGATGCCAAATTGTAATACGAAGCAGATTTGAGGGGAGAATTATTTTTACACTAAACAGAATAGCCAAAGAATTTACAAAGAGACATGAACAGTTTCCCTCTCTTTCTATGCTTTCCTCACTCCACTGAAATGTTTGAATGAAAACTACGAATTACAATTAAATTATGATCTTAACAACATAAATAAGTTCCTCTCAGAGAGAAAAATACCCCAGAGTTGTATTTCTCTTACTGCTTTGGAAAACGGAACCGAAAACAGGAATGCTTTGAAATTTTACAATTTATTCTAAAATACAATCTTCAAAACGAAATCTCAAACATAGTAATTCTGCTTCGAATTTTCTTCAAAACTGCTTTAGTTTTACTCGCTTTGAGAGGAATTTTTCCAGATACAAATCGGTTAAGAAGTAACTAAGGCGTAAAAATGAGAGTCATGAGTTTAATAAATATTGTACTGTTCAGAGAAGAGCAAGTGCAGTAATTGAAACAAACTTCTAGAATATTATCGACGATTTTACTAACAGAAAAACAAGCAAAGTTGTCATCGTTTAATATTATCAAAATAGCCGTGGACAAACGTAATTATAATTAAGCGCTGCAGTATCTACACTTATTTTTTCTTTATTTTAAGCCTAACTTGTTGTAAGAGAACAGACATCCAAATATCCCTTGTAATGAAATTATTTGTTTATAAATGTAAATGAGTAACTCATATAATAATTCGAACCCTCCAAATTTTTGTTGAAATGTTTCGGTTGATAATGTTTATCGCTATAACTTTTCGTTTTAAATGAAAATACATCGCAAGAATTACAGAATGCATTTGCATCACAAGAACGCATTTGGAACTTTATACTTGTTTAACAAAATATATTCACAGTTCCATACCTGAAGTGAACATGTCAGGATGCCATAAATTCTATTATAAATTTTATGGCTCATCTTTTGAAAGATTAAAAATATTCGAACTATCCACAAAAATCCCTTATCTAAAGCGTTTAATGATCTTCGATGCAATAAAATAATAAAAATTACGTAGAATTGTTGAAAATGTAATGATGTCTGGACTACATTCGGAACTAGCATCAAGGAATCTCAGATTTATTTGACTAAAAATCAAACAAGACCTCAACATAAGTGCTATAGAACGTTCAGTAGTCTTAGAACAGGGTTTTGTGATAAAATTTAACCTTGAAGCTTTTTGAGAGTCATTTAGCTCTCAGGGCTTAAATAAGCAATCAAAGAGAAAAAATTCTTCATTACCAGCAAAACAAGGAAAATCAATAATAAGCAAAGTTATATGACATTGGAATAATGTCATATTTGAAGAAAAGGCACAACTTAATATATTTAGTTCGTACAGATGAAATGATACTTAGCAAAATCCAAATAAAGGACTGAATCCGAAAAACCTGTTGCCTAGGAACGGAGTAGGAGTATAATACATTGAGTATGTTTCACTACCTTTGGAATAAGAAATTTAGTGTTTCAATATAGTGTTTCGAAAAAAAAAAAAAAAAAAAAAAAAATTGGATTAGTATAAACGTATAAATATTCTTAAGGAAAACCTGAAATCATCAGTAAGAAGAGTTAAAATGCAGAGGCATTCAAGTTTCATTAGGATAACGATCCTAAATATGCAGCCCTAAATGTTTACTTGTGATTATTATGCAATGGTCTCGAAGTTATCAAAACTTCTCCGTATTCTCTGGACTTAAATTCTGTGGAATTCGTATGACGTGCATTGAAGAAATTATAAATCAATATGAAATTTTTTTCAAAAGCTCAGTTAAAAGTAATTTTTACGTAGGAATGGAGCAAATGGAGCATTCTTATTCGAAAAAATTAGTAAAATCCATGCTAAAGGGCAAGAGTAGTGTAATTTTAGTTAAAGGATATTTCGTGAAATATTGAATGTTTCGCTCAATTTTTATGTCTTTATTAAACATGAACCGTTTATTCAAAATGTCAGAATACTCATGTGAATTTACTTTTAGAACTTTTTCAATAATTTTTTCAACCAAAAACATTTTGAATAACTTTTTTTTAAAATAAGTAAGTTTTAAAATAGATGATCAATGTTATAATGGGAAAGAAAAATGGTCATTTTACTGAGGAGTCAAAATAGTCATTTTGCATGGGAAGAAAAAATAGCCATTTAGTGATTGATATTTTCAAATAAAACTGAAAATCACAAGAGTCCGAAAACAAATGTGAGCCACTGCACATGTGAGATGCTTTATTATTTAATAACAGTAAAAAGTACTTATGGCGGCTGCCTGCGCAAATGACTAATTTTTACAATAAAGCTTCAATGAAAAAATGGTAAAATTAGGCTAGGCTTATTAGGGGTAATGCTTTATTTATTCTATTTATAAATTTTTATCCTCCATTATTAGATGACTCATTTAAAATATTCAAGAAATTACTTTATTTCAAAATTCCGATTTTGGGCTAACAAAATATATAATTAAAACCTCCATTGTAATTTAAATTCTTTTCAGTTAATAATAAGTTAATAACTATAATATCAGACAATTTATTGCAATTATAATCATTATAAATCATAAATGGATAATAACTGCTGAAAATTTTACTTACTTCTATGCAGATTATATTCAGCATGTTGCATTTGCTTCTGAAACGGCTAACACCGAAAATTTCTATGAATCTAAAGCTCAACATTTTATATAGATTTCGTCGGATATGCACGAAAGGTTTTTATGAAGCTTTCTTTCTCTACCAAATAAATATTCTATGGCCTTGACGGTCCAACCTGAGAACAATTCATTCGCTCCGCTGAGCGTAAAATTGAAGACAATTAACTGATCACGATCGTATTTACGAGGAGCAGAAGCTTATTTGAGCTAACGATTAAGAAATTTTTATCCAAGG